CAAAAATTATATAATAAAAACTAGTAATAAAACTAAATTTCATTTGTGGCCATTTTTGCATTTTAGTTAGTTTTATGATTTGTTTTTATTTATTTATTTTTATTATCAATAATACAGAATACCAATAATATTTAATTACCAATACTAATAACACTTGACACTCTGTGGCACTAGCAGCACCAACAAGGATTGTGTAAATAATTTCCCCAAAACCTCTACTTGCCTTCCATTGTTTGGATAAACAGGTAGTCCTGCTGCAGACTCACACCTTTGAGCCAGAGTTGTTGTTCCATTTGTTGCTGCTAGTGATGCAAAAAACACATTGTAGCTTCAAAAAGGTGAATTCAGGTGCAGAACAATACTCCTTTTTATCCCAGTCTGGATCGTTCCTAGAATACTCCCCTAACCTGTGCTGTGTTTCAGGTTCTGTCCTCTGAAAGCGCAGTCCCTGCAGAGAGCTGAATCTGCACTTCATTTCAAGAGCGCTGACACACAGGCATTTCTTGGGCCTATCAGAAATCAAAGGCCTGCAAGCTTTTGTGTGCTGTTTGGCAGAAAAAGCAGAGGCATTTCATGCACTTAATGGTCACACCCCTGTGGTGCCGTCTTGCCCTGCTGTCCCAGACCGAACGGTCCTGTCGGATGGGTGGAGGAAGAGACTCAGAGTGTTTGACTTTGGGTAGAGAAAGTTAAAAGTGAGGGAAATAGCATGAGAAAAAAATGATGGTCCACGTGTTGGAGGAATTGGAGAAAGGGAGGGAAGCCCAGCAGGAACGGGTCACTGCAGGCCAGGGGTGGAACTAGAGGAAAAGAGGGGAGGGGGTTAGATGGAGCCCAGCAGTAAAGAACAGTATGTTCTGTTCATTCCAGGACAAGAACTGTTTGTGCTGTTATCCATCACACAGTGAAGGGAAAGCAATAAGCAAAGAACCGCGTTATTTCAGAGCACAAAATAAGACCTAGTGCTTCAGGAGAGTGTATGTGTCCTTTGCTGACAGTATGAGCACACCTTGGCTCGTGGGTTACGCTTGCCACGTGTGTTGGGATGATTACTTTGGTGTGCGGGTATTAGGGCTGCACGACATATTGAAATTATCGGAATATCGCAACTGTAAATATTGCGATATGCATATCGCAGTGGCATGCGATATCTGAATCATTTGAATAATAGGCTACTTAAATCAAAACGTTGCAAAAGGTCAAAGTTTTAGGTCGATGCATATAGCAGAGAATTGCTTGATGTTAAAAAGAGTTATCAAGTGCAATAAGTTGCAGAAAATAACTTTTTGCCGTCTCGCCTTGCTGTCTGACTCACACCTGAAGCCGCATCTCGGAAGGCATGTGATCACTTCAGTTTTCTGTGCGCACTGCCGCCGCACACGTGCAAAGCACGCGCACACAGAGATGCGTTTCCGACAGCGCGCCAACACCGAGTTGATTCATCTTTCGCATCTCCTCCTTATGTTTGAACAGACACATACACACAGAATTATGTCAATAGTACCCGTCTCGACAATCATTCTCGTACACAAAGTCAGTTATGTTTTAAATGAATGTAAACAGCTGAGAAAGAAATCGGATGTGTATCATTGTACTGGATCCGTGCAGTCAGTCTGCTGAATATGTCACTAATGTTAATCAAACAACAAAACACGGCTTTAACAAAGATCAATCTAAATTTAATTCATAAGGTGAACACTATGCAGTGTTATTTTACACTTAATTATTAAAATTCTGTACCTGAATACTACTGTTTATTTTATCTATGCTTGTAATTTGTGTATTCGTTCTTTTTTTATTGACTGTTCGTTTGCTTTTAATCATGTTTGAACTTTCTTAGGCTATAGTTTTTGCTGTAGTATATGAAGAAGTACTTAAAGTGTACTTTAAGTAAAAGCGAAGCAAAGTTACATTGATATAAAATAAGTGGCATTCATTTTTTTGTTTGTTTGTTCACATTGATGTTAAAATTACATTTTCTGATTTGTGACTACTTTTTATGTAACGCTAAATGTAACGCTTTGTGACACTGCTGGTCACTTTTAGAAGTTGTAGTGATGCTTTCTTTTCCAAGAAAGAAAATGAAACGTATATTGGCCTTATCATTTTAATTTTTAAATATTTTAAAATAGCTTATCATTTTAATTGATTTTACAGACTTAAGTCAATATTGTATCGCATATCGAATATCGCATTATTTAACAAAGTATGGCATTTTTCTTCAATATTGCACAGCCCTAGCAGGTATGTTTTGAAAGACCTCATGTCTGAAAATAAATTTTTGTGACTTAATTCCTGTTTCTCTACTCGGGAAATGGATTAAACATTTTGGTGACTCATCTTGCACTCAGGGGCGTGTATAAATTGTCGTCCAATCAGATGCTCTCTAGAATCAGAATGTTACATTGTAACAGCAAGTTGAATGACTGTGACGTAAAACTGTGTTGCAATAGGAAATATGTCAACACAGGAAAGCAAACGGTCTTCAAGCCACATCATGGGGTCTTTAACTATGTGTGTGTGTGTGTGTGTGTGTGTTCCTCACAAGCGCAGACCTATTAGACAATTGTTAAGATAAATAAATAAATATATATATATATATATATATATATATATTAAAGTAATAGATTAATATGATGATGTATTTATTTTATATTAATTGCATTCAGAAAGACATTTTCAGCAAGTTTTTAAGATTAAAATGTAATTTCGCATGAATATTTTCTAAATTTATTTTCGTTCCCATGCTTTGGACAATTTGGGTACTTTTAGGTACTTTTTCCACTCGCTGCAGCTCATGCTGTGGCCTTTTTATGAAAATATTTTTATTTATTTTATTTTTACAGATTATATTTAATTATATTTGTATAATTATATATAAAAATATATCATTTATTGTTTTCAATATATTATTTTATTATTTATTATATTATTTTGATTAATTTATGTATATATGATTTTTTTATAATTTATTAAATTAATACATTTCTAAATGATTATTTATTATTTTATGTTATTTTACATTTAAATGTTCAATTTCTGTACTTGAACACCTACAAATTTAAAGCATCTTTCATTTGTATCATTGTTCTATTTATTAATTTGTGGTATTGCTTGTAATTTGTTCATTTGTTCTTATTTACTGACTGTTCACTTGTCTTTAATAATGTTTGAACTTTATATTTGTTAGGCTAGTTTTTGCTGTGCTATTGAAATTGGAATGGAGAATTGTAAAATTGAACTGGTATCTAAAATGTTTGTGTCATATAAGCTTATTTATTAGAATACACGATAACATGGGTCAAAAACAATGATAATAAAATTGGATATTAAATATCTTTTGAGCTTTTTTGGCCTATTTTTCGTGTGCGGATCTGTTGTTTGATTTTGGATTCATCATTTGTATCTACGCACTGCAAAAGCTTTTCTTTTGTCTGGCATGACGCTGTTTGGCTTTTTTCCTTTAAAAACAAAGATAACCAATTTTTTTTTCTGTGGCAGGGCCAGTGAAAATAATTGGCAGGGCAAGTAAAACATTGAACCACAAGATTTTAGATCTTTTCTTTTCTTATCTTGAGAAATATACAACCGATTACTCCATATACTCTGGATATTTTAAGGTGAATTTTGTTGGTAGTGGTGGATGTTTTTTTTTTTTTTTTTTGGTCTTGATCACCTATATATTATGCATTCCTAGTTTTACAAACATGCACAAAGCATAAATAGACAAATCCTTCAGTATAGCATTGCAAAGAGGCTGAAATCAGACACAGGTTTAATAAACGGCTCTTTACACGGACAGAGTTGGTGTAATTGTTCATGAAAACGACTATGCGAGCATGTAAATATTGCTAAGCCTGCTTCAGTCAAGTGGTTATCAAAACACGACAATGGAGGATCTCATTTTGTCGCTGCCGCCCACCTCCCTTTCTCATCCTCTGCTCGATCCTCTCATTATCCCTGTAGGTGAACCTCTCTCTGATCAACTCCGTCACTCCTCTGAGTGACTCTTCCTGCTGCCCCCCTCAACGCAGCGGCATTCATCCACCTTTCTTTTCAAGCTGTGGGGTGTCTGACCTAAATCTGTAAGGAAGGAGAAGAAAATGGAAGCATAGAGGGATGTTCAGGGGGTGGAGAGAGAGTTAGGTGGGCTGACAGCCACTGATGTTGGTGGCAAATTAGCATGTGTGCTAATCAAGCTTCACCCCCAAGAGTGGAGACAGACGGAGAGGCAGTGGGGTGGGGCGGGGGGTCTTGTTGTCATTATTAACATTGTACAATCTAAACGCTCACACAAAGAAGCACCCTCTTTGGTCAGAACAAGCTGCTTGATGGCTTAAATAATTGAGCGGGGTTGAAGGCGTTATCTTCGCAGAGGGCTCGGATATCTCAAAGCGGTGGCCATGAGAACCTCCGTGTTTCCACATCTCTCTTTTCTTTTTGAAATCAAATCATGCTATAAATAGCCCTCTCCCTCACTCCCTCCCTCCTTCCCCGGTTTCTCCTGTCTCCACAGAGAGCGCGAGGATCCTGCAGTAACACGTAGTGCCCGGGTCATCCACGGTTGCAACCCGTCGCTCTGTTTTAAAGCTCGAGCTTTGCACCGGCTTTTGTCTCGGGCGCTGCAGTCTCGAGATTCTCTGGACTGCGGTGCAGCAGCCCAAGAGATGCCACATGCTGTCAAATCTCGCTCCTTTGTGTGCGGCACTGGCTGCTTTTTAAACTGTGATTGGTTGAAAGGTTCCAACTCGAGGAAACGATTGCAAAACCCACTCTATCAAAGCGTGGAGAAAGATGTGCTGGCGCAGTCAGTTGTTGATTAACCCCTCGTGCCTCTGGGCAAAACTGCAGCCATCTGAGAGCCTTCCAAATTAAATTGGTTAAAGCCAATACAGCGACGTTACGTGTCTGCCTCAGTGAGTCAAAGCAGAACGGAGCCTTTGTTTTGATTGAGTGCTGTCAGTCTAACGTGTCTTTCTTTCTTTCTTTTTCTTTCGCAGACTGCCTGCTAGGTTGAGGAGATTCGGGGTGTCCCATAGACCCCTAGGTTCCTCCGATGAACCCCATCAACTCCATGAAACCTGCCCTGCCTCCAACGCCACACAGGTCAGTGGCTCCTGTGCGTCAGCTTGGCGCAGCTGCAAGTCAAAATGTGACTCGTGCCCACTGTTTCCTCTCTAACGACATTCTGAACTCTCAAACCCCCCTCACACTGCTTCCCTCAGAGCTGCACTCAACAGTCTGAAACCTAGCGCTGATGTTTTGATTGTTGATTTTGCACATTTGAACTACTATTTGGTAATAGCTTGAGGGAAGCAATGTGTTTTTATTGTTTTGCAGCCTTATCTGGATGAGATTAGCCTTGGTGTGCAGTTTACTTGTGTTTTTTTTTTCCTTTTGTGAGCCTTCTTTATCTGTTTAAGGGTCCTAAAGAGTGCTTTATGGTTATTTGGAGAGGAAAACAAGTTATTGATAGTACACTGTAGGTTCTTTAAGTTAAATACCAGTATATGGATGGTTTTCTAAAGAACCCAAGGTTCAAAAGTTCTTTGGAACTTTAATTTAGTTCTGTTTGGAAAATTTATTTTTGAAGGGACACTTAAAATTGACAAATGTCATTTACTCATGTCATTTCAAACATATGACTGACTATCTTCTGTGGAACACAAAAGGAAGTTAAGGAAAATGTCAAAGATGATGTTATATATATATATATATGTATAGTTAATAGTTTAATATATATATATGTTTAGTCAATTTGTTTAAATGCACATTTATTAAAATTATATATTACATAATATTATATTAATATTATGTAATATATTACACATTACATAATATTATATGAATATATATGATTATCTATTACATAATTATTATAAAATATATATTCATTAATTTATTTCATATATATATAATTTGTTACACATATTATAATATATGTAGCAATGTTTGAGCAAACTGACCCTTTAAGAGTGGTTAATTCTCCAACCCAGCAAAGAGAAATCTAGAACCCAACTGCTTCATGTGCTCTTGGTACTTTCAGGTAGAGCTTTCATACTAATTTGGTGCTTTAAATATTTAGTAAATGATGTACTGCAGGCTCCCGTATGTAGGTGTACTTGGCACATTTTCATGAGTTTTACTGATATTTGAGAGGGAATTATGTTGCTTCAGAGGCGATAATGAAACAAACAGTCTGAATATGAAGAAAAAGTGGAAGTTGGCGTTTCGCTCTCACCGCAGTTCACTGAAGATAAATCACTTGCAGTGGCGCATGCATTGGGCCCCCAAACTCAATCCACGTGCCCACACCTTCTCCTCTTATTTACTGAGCTTTCAATCTGCACGAGTGTTGTTTTTTTTTATTTTGATTGTTTTTTTTGTCTCTCAGCTGCTGATTGGCTGCTGCAGGATTTAGCTTTGAAACCACAGTTTCCTGTTTCAGAGAGCAGGGGTATCTGGTGGTTTTCCTGCAGAAGAACTTTAAGAGAAACCTCTGCCTCCTATGGAATGCCTCTAAGCCACCAATAGTTCAGTTTGTTTATTTGCCCCGGCAATGCAATGACCAGCCTCAATGAGAGTCTCGCTTTGAGCCTTTGTTGGAACCTCAATATCCTGTGGGCTGCAGGCCAGCAGATACTTTGCTGCAGGTCGAGGTGGAAATGTGTCAAGAAGGGGATCTCGGCCTTCTTCAAGGGCTTTAGAGAGAAGAGTCTTCCATGTGGCAGTGGGGTTGAGGTGTCTTGGGTCAGTTTGGGCGAGAAGCTGTTCAGAGCCAGTTATCACTCGATAAACCCTCGCGGGTTTCATTTTCTTGATACTTTCGAGCTGTTGCTGCTTGGATAAGTTTTACCTGGAATGCTCCCATTCGGTGTCCAAGGCTTTTGGCACTCCTGCCAATAAGTAGTGACTCGAGATAATTTACTGGCCATTAAACTGTATTTTAAGTTTTTGTCCATTAAAACATCACAGTATTGCAACTGAATCACTGTTGAACTGTGACAAAAGCAAGACAATGTAGAGCTCATTTAGTGAACTCACCTTTTTGTTAATTAGACTATAGGAAATGTTATTAATGTGCTCGGTACTACTCAGTACTGATGCATTTTTTTCCCTTTATCTACAGTTTGGAGTCTATACGATTTTTTTAAATGATTTTGAAAGTCTCTTTTGCCCATGAAGGCTGCATTTATTTGATCAAAAACGCAGTAAACATGGTATTGTTGTGAAATATTTAACTATTTACTATTCTATTATTTTACTATTTTTTTATATTGTAATATATTTAAAATTGTAATTTATTCCTGTGATCAAAGCTGAATTTTCAGCACCATTACTTCAGTGTCACATGATCTTTCAGAAATCATTATAATATATAATATAATAATATGCTGATTTGCTGCTCAAGGAACAATACGATTGTCAATGTTTTTAGTAGAAACTGTGACTAATTTTTTAAGGATTCTTTGATGAATAGACCGTTTGAAAGACCAGCATTTTATAAAAAAATAAATCTTTAAAAAAATTATGAAATTGTCATGAAAATGTCTTAACTGTCACTTTTGATCAATTTAATGTATCCTTGTTGAATTAAAAGTATAAATTTCTTTCAAAAACAAAAACTGACCCCAAAACTTTTGAATGGTAGTATCTGTTTTGCTTTGGTTTAGGATTTACGACGTCAATAAAAAAAGATGCATTTGGCTTCTTGGCTGAACTTCTGATGATAAATTATTTAAGTTGTTTTGAAGATGCATGACAGTTTTTTTCCCCCCACCATTTGTATTTTTCCTAAATATTTTTCACTCATGTCACTTGCACCAGCGAGTGTTAAGAATGTCGTTTGACCATGCATTGTCACAGGTCGTAAAACAAGTTACCTGCTAACTCAGCGTTATCTAATATTGTTGTTTTGGGCTCTGTTCCCATCCTTTTTGTTTTAAGTTGGCTTATTGGGCACAGTCCTATCCATTAAGACCCTAAAATGCAGATTTAGGTGCAAGTTTTGATGGGTTACCTGATAGTCTTCCTAATGTTGTTCTGCTGGAGCCGTACATGTGCACCTTTAGCCCTTTTATGGAGGGTAAACTAACCACCATATATAATGACATGAATCCGAGACCTTAGTAATCCATTCAGTAGATTGCACAGCTTTAATTCAGGTCTAAAATTTGTACATGCTTTCCAGAGGAACGATGTACATAACAGTACAACTGATTGAACATTCATCCCTCACAGCCTCGTTGTTATTCAAGTCAAATTAAATATGGCATTGACTCTAACTAAGGTCCATGTTTCCCTGTTCTGATCAGCGTGTGATGTAGTTTAGCTAATTATGGAAAGATGGCGAGCGATTATTGAGAGCGATCTGGTTTGATCCAGTTACACAGAAAACAGTAGACACTCACACATACACTCACACACACACACACTTACTCTCTCACCCCCCCCCCCTTTCCCTTGGCATCGTTACTCTTTCCTGTCTCTAAGTGACTGGAGTCGCCATGGAAACATTGTGCCGAGTACCTCCAGAGCATGTGGCTGTGGCACGTCTGAAGTCACAGAAAGATCCTCTCTCTCTCTCTCTCTCTCTCTCTCTCTCACACACACTCACACTCACACTTTACACCATATGCTGATATCATACCAGGACAAAAGGCATAGATGGAATATAATATGGATCTGGCTGTGGATAATGCGAGGCGGATTAGTGAGAAGTGAATTAAGAGCGTTTTATACAGGAAGCACTCAGATGCACTAATAACCCCGGTGTCCGTGTGTTTCTCTCGCCCCGCAGTGACGCCTCTTACCCATATGATCCTGTCCCCTGGCAACAAGGCCCAAATCAGCCTGCCGGCTCCCTCTCTGTGGTAACCACAGTGTGGGGGGTAACCAATCCTTCACCCAGCCAGGTAAGAAACGCCGTCTGCCGTGATGATGTCACCAGCTTGTTTACCTCAAAGAAAGCAC